ATTGTCGATTTTTGCTATTCATTATAATATTACTACCTATGATTTAATGTGAATAAAAATAACTAATATATATATATATATATATCAAATTTTGTTTAACAAATCATCATTCATTAATACAAATTAAAGGGCAAAATAAAATACATTATTTCATTTACCATGTCGTTTTGCTAACAGCCATTCATTATTCTAACAAGAAAAAAAAAATACCACTTCATTAGACGATCGAAGTCCCCCTTTTCCTTCCCGGCCTCTCTGAAACCCTTACGCCCACAAAACTACTCTGATTAAACCCTTTCGTCTCCCCCAAAAGGCTCGCGCCCAGTCAATTCCGAGAAGGGAATCGAGTATCTCGGAAGGCTACTCTGACGGCGGATTGGTTTTGGCGCATGTAAGTAGTCGAATTCCTGTTTCAATTTCCTCTGTTCTGCATCAAAGGATTTTCTGTGCATGCAATTGTTTTGATTTTGATGTTGCCGCTTGTGCTTTCTCTTCGATGTTCCTTCTAACCCTTTCGTACACCTCCACAGACTCGAGCCTATTAAATCGCTAGCCAAGGAATCGTAATAGAAAGGAAGCTATTACCGGCATCAAATTGATTTCGCAGTTCTTAGTCGGTATGAAACAACATCCTTCTTTCATGCTCCTCGTTCCTCTGTCAAAGGTTTTTGTACTGTTCTCATTTGTTTAGGACGCTGATATCATCATCATCCTCCTTGTACATGAGTTTGCTTTTCAAGAGGCAAGGCTGGTTATGATTTTGATCTCGCATGCTTGTGCTTTCTTGGTTGTGTGAATTCCCTTCGAGACATAAGTGCTTCTATGTATGTGTGTATGGGTTTAGATTGGTTGAATCTTTGTTTTAGGGTCATTGTGTTGATTTTTCTATTAAACAAAGTGAGTTTGTGTTAGATTCTTGCTCAATCTATTTCTAGAGATTGATTTGATGATTGAAAACATATGTGAGGGTGAATTTTCCTCTGTAAAAACTGCCAAGTAATAACTAAAGATGAAGTAAGTGGGGTTGGCCTCAGAATCCTTTCTTTGGCCCTGATTTGAGAGGGAACTTAATATAAGAGCCACATTGAAGAACTTCTGTTCCAATTTTGTTTTTAATTGAATATATGGAGTGATTGATCCTTACATTTTGTTCTTACATGTGTTAAGTCATTAAAAGTACAGCTTGTGCAGGAGTTTAAGTAATAGGTTTGCTCATGTTGAATGGGTCTTATATGTGCAGGTGATTTCGACATTCTTCACTGTGATCTAGGAACTCCCAAAACAAGGCAGCAGTGAAGGTTAGTCTTATCTTGATGCATAGTGAAAATGAACAAAGATTGGATGAAGCTAAAGAATAGATTTTCTGAAGAATATATAGCGGGGGTTGAGGAATTTATAAGGGTTTCAACTAACCATGTTGATGAACTTGGTAGAATCAGATGCCCGTGTAAAAAGTGCAATAATTGCCACTTTAAAGTTCTAAGCACGGTGAAAAGTGAGATATTTAGGCATGGCATGGTGGAGACGTATACTAGATGGATACATCATGGCGAGCCATTTGAGGTTGGCAGCGATAGCAACACAAACCAGCCGCATTCTCCTTTTGAGAATGAAATTGAAATGATAGATACTGACATTCCTGATATGCTGGATGATTTAGGCCGAGCTACTGCTGGAAGTTTTCCTTCAACAGATGGGGCAACAACTAATAATCCTTGTTTAGCAAATCTTTCTGGCAATTTAGCAAGGTTAATCAATGATGCCAACTGTCCTCTATATCCGGGATGCAAGAAGTTTTCGAAACTATCCTTCGTCATGAAAATGATGAATAATAAACTACTAACCAATAGTAGTGATAAAGCATTTAACTTGAATCTTGAGCTATTCAAGGATGCTTTACCAAATGGGGACACACTTCCAACTTCATTCTATGAGGTTAAGAAATACATGAAAGATCTCGGTTTTGGTTACACTATAATAGACGCATGTCCCAACAATTGCGTTCTGTTTAGAGGTCCTCTCCAAAATGTAAAAACATGTCCAAAATGTGGGGAATCTAGGTACAAACCTGGTAAACAGAAGGAGGTGGCCCAAAAAAAAGCTCGGTATTTCCCGATAAAAGATAGGCTACAAAGGTTGTTCATGACAAAAGACCTTGCTAAAGACATGAGGTGGCATAAGGAAAAACGTGTTGATGATGATGTACTCAGGCATCCTGCTGATGGAGAAACTTGGAAGCGCTTTGATAGAGATCATAGCTGGTTTGCTTCGGATCCTAGGAATGTTCGACTTGCTCTTCTTAGTGATGGGTTTAATCCATTCGGAAACATGAGTACTAGCTATAGCATGTGGCCTGTAGTCTTAACACCATATAATCTACCTCCTTGGAGCTGTATGACAGAGCCTTTTTTTCTCCTTAGTATTCTGATACCTGGAAAGCAATCCCCGGGTAATAATATACATGTTTATTTAGAGCCTATGATAGAACAATTGAAAGAATTGTGGGAAGATGGGGTCAATACTTATGATGCATATGCTAAGGAAACTTTTCGCTTACATGCTGCATTGTTATGGACAATAAACGACTTTCCAGCGTATGGAATGTTATGTGGGTGGACTACTAAGGGTAAACTAGCATGTCCCGTGTGTAATAACGAGACATGTAGCTTGCGTTTGCAATATGGAAAGAAAGAGTGCTACATGGGTCATAGAAGGTGGTTGGACAAAGATCATCCGTGGAGAAAAAGCAGGAAGTTTGATGGAAAGCCAGAACACAGAGGAAAACCTAAAAATTTATCGGGGGCAGAAGTACTTGAACAGATCAATAGGGCCTTTCCTACAAATATTGCTGCCAGCGAGAGTGGTAAAAGAAAAAGGGGTGCTTCGGAGAATGTATTTAACTGGAAAACGAAAGCCTCGTTTTGGAGTTTGCCATACTGGAAAACTATAGAATTACGGCATAACTTAGATGTTATGCATGTAGAAAAGAACATAAGTGATAACGTGTTAGCAACACTACTGAATATCGATGGAAAGACCAAAGATACAGCTAATGCTCGGATGGATTTGAAACTCATGGGTATTCGAAAGGAATTACAGATGCAGAGATATGGTGATCAATTTAAAATGCCTCAAGCTTCATATACCTTATCTTCTGAACAATGTAGGCAGTTCTGTGATTGGTTAAAAACCATCAAGTTTCCCGATGCCTTTGCCTCAAACATTTCTCGTTGTGTAACTAGTGATGGTAGGTCAATAACTGGTATGAAAAGTCACGATCACCATGTGTTCTTACAACGTCTATTGCCTGATGCGGCACATGGGTTATTGGGGAAAGAAGTCTACAAAACTTTGGCAGAATTGGGTGCTTTTTTCCGAGAGTTATGTACCAAAACAATATCAAAGGCAACTGTTAAAAAGCTGGACAGCAACATAGTTCTCATATTGTGCAAACTAGAGATGTTATATCCACCAGCCCTTTTTGTTGTTATGATGCATCTGCCAATTCACCTACCCCATGAAGTAGAGCTTGGTGGCCCGGTACAGTACAGATGGATGTATCCTATGGAAAGGTAAGTAATAAGGGTAAACTATATAAATCTAATTAACTCTTCTATAGGAGTACAATATAATTGATATCTAATGAAATTATTTGTTTGCATGTCATTAGGTTTTTAGGTACCTTAAAAAGTTTTGTTCGTAATAAGGCTTATGCCGAGGGATCCATTGCTGAAAGATACATAGCAAAAGAGTGTTCTGAATTTTGCTCTAGATATCTGCAAGGAGTTGAAACAAGAGCAACTCGTCTAAACAGAAATGATGACGGATCTGAAGTGGTGGAGTCTAGTGGGTTCTCTGTTTTCAACCAAAAAGGGAGAACATTAGGAGCAACTAATTATGAACCAATATCATATGCAGAATTTCTTAAGATTCAGTGGTACATACTCAATAACTGCGAAGAAATAGAAGACTACTTTAAGTAAGCTATAACTCTTTTGTTTTTCATTGTCAGTGTAAAATCTTAGCTCAAATTCTAATTTATAAGCTGTGCACAGTATCCATAAGGAAGAGATGATGAAGCAACATCCTAACAGTACAAGGGAAATCATTGAAGCTAACTTTCCAGATTGGTTTAAGACATATGTAAGACAATCTGACTTGTCATTGCAATCTTGGACCATAGTGCATTTGTGTGCACTTAGCCCACGTAATACATCTAACTTACTTGCTTTATTGATTGTATAGGTTTCCCAAATGTTTCTGGATGGTTTGCTTAAAGAGAAAGACCATCTATATGTCCTAGGACTAGGAGCAGATGAGAGAATGACTAGATATAATGACTATGCAGACTGAGTTTGATATAAATTCAAATGATGTAGCTATAAAAAAGATTCTCAGTTCTAGAATGCAAAAGCGGTTCCTCAATTATAAGCACCATTGTAATAAGCATTACAACAAAGATCCTTTGACAGCTCGCTCGAACCCCCCCGAAGGTGTGAAGCTGGATGATTGGCAGCTATTGTGTGATCACTTTGAGAGTGATCGATTTAAGGTAAATGCCATTCTGATTCATGCTCACTAAAAATTTGTAACTCCTGTGGGTTAATGATTTTTCCCTTTACAGAATCGATCTAAACAAAATAAAATTAACAAGGGTAAGCAACATTATGCTCATACCACTGGAGCTAAATCTCATGATCAAAGAATGTATGAGATGGTAAGCTTTCTCATTCAACAATGCAAAAATTGATAGTTTTTTAGGGTCAGTGTAGCTAGGCTGCAGAACTAGTGAATTAGAGAATAAGAGTGGTTGGTTTGTGTTTGGTTATGTACAACCTTCTTTCTTTCACCTTCCTGCAAATGTATTATCAAACTTGATCTAGGAGAAGAAGAAGCAGTCGACTGAGCAACCAAACATGGAGGTTGGAGATGAACAAGTTGATGAAATGGATGAGGAGCCCAAAGATATTACACTCTATGCAAATACCCATAAGAGAAATGATGGAAGCTGGGTGAGCGAGGAACCTAAGAAAAACTATGTAAGCATTTCATATCATTTGAAAAAAAAAGTTCACTTTATTTATAGTTTGAGGTGCTACCAAGCCACTTACCTAGATAAAACCATGTTGTGTATATAGGAGGAGATGATAGCCATTCATACCCAAGCAAAAGAAGATGGGAAGTCCTTATCTGGTCGTGAGATTGTTGAGATGGTGCTGAAGAAAAAGGTCAAGTATGGACCAAAGGAAACAGTTCGTTCGACAAGAGAGATACAACTGGAAGCAGAATTGCAAGAGGAAAGAGCTGAATCTGAGAGAAGAACAAAGGAATTTGAGGCCAAGATACAATCCCAAGAGGAGAAGATACAAATTCAGGATGAGAAAATACAACTTCAGGAGGAGAAGTTACAAATGCAAGGTGCGGAAATGCAGCAGCTACGAGAATCACAAGAGAAACTTCAGCAACAGATGGAGTCATTTGCTGCAACACTAAATCGGAAATGACCATGGATTCCTTCAGTCAAAGGTAACTATCTATATTCCTAGTCCATTGTTCTTAAAGGAGCTGAATTTATATATGTCTCGTTCTCAAGTTGAGTTGTGTGTTGGGACAACAACTATTTAGATTAATTGTCACTTGAACATGGATGTGAGTAAGTGACAAACTATATTCTTTTTCATTGTTTTCTTACAGATGTTGAAGATTATTAGGAGCAAGGATTAGATGGCAAGGGAAGATGTTAAAAATTAGAAGTATGAGCTGTCCATTTTGTCGTAGGATGTTCTCCTTTATGGTGAACCAACGCTAAACTTGTTCGGAAGCCTTTTTCTGGATTTCGTTGGAAGACTATGTTGAAATCAAGATGGTACTGAACTGAATGTTTGGATTTGGATTGAGGGATTATTTTTATTTAATGTGGTTGGATTCTCTAGTTATGACTATGAACACAGGGTTCAATTCTGTCAATTTGTGTGTCATTCATGGTAAATTTTGACAACACATTTGTCATAATACAAAACAAAAATGACACAGACATGTTGTCATAATATCCAAGTAATATAATCTGACAAAACAAAAGTCGTCATTTATTATGGAATTTATGACAAATTTATCAATTGTCAGAAATTGCAATAATGACTCGTAAACCTTCCATGACAAAAGATGATGGTCGTAATTCTATAGGTATGACAAAGTAAAATTTGTCATAATCCAATAACAGAACGAATATCAATTGTGACAACAGTCGAGTATGACAAAATGTAATTATCATACTTCGCGGTGTTTGTCACATTAAGTTAGATAAAACTTGACATCTCGTGACAAACACCGTTGTAGAATGACAACTGTGTCAGCTTAATATGACAAATCATTTTGTCATATTAGTAACATGTTTATGACAATTTATAAAGGTCACATTATTGGTAGATCTAGTATGACGAACATCTAAAATTTTTGTCACAGTAAGTCAACGGCGACGGCGATATTACGACAACGTCAATGACGAATGATATTTGTCACAATGGATGTAATATGACAAATTCATAATGTATTGTGACAAAGTCCTTGCGTCATAATTGACCTAATTTGTTGTAGTGAAGGCTATAAATTGGGGATGAAAAGAAGAAGAAGGTTGCGATTTTTCTAGTGAACAAAAGCAGTCTGTAGTGTGATCAATTAGAGGTCTTTTGAAGAAAAATTGTGTAACCAAGTCAGGGAGATTTGGAGAGGATCTGAGTGTACAAACAGGGAGTGAATACATCAGATCAGGTTCTGTCAGCTAGGCAGGGAGCTTGGCAAATTCTATTTGCACTTGTAAAGAAGAACAAGTGGACGAGCTTTGTTATAAACACGCTGCTACGGATCGGGAAATCGCCAGAATCGACAAAGCAAGAATACGAAAGCGAGAATCGAAAAACACGACACACGATTTACGTGGTTCACTAACACGATGTGTGTTAGCTACGTCCACGGGCGAGAGAGAGCTGATTTCCCTATATCAAGGAGATTACAGATTACAGAGGAGTATGAGAAGTATTTATAGCACTTCTCCATGTGGGTCTAAACCTAATCCAATCTGACAAAGGAAACGGTTACAGACCAGGCCCAGAACCCGAACCAAAATAACATTGAGCCCCGATTACCAGTCGTAGCGGCTGATAATCCGATTCAAGTCATATCAACAAATCTCCACCTTGACTTGAATCCTCTTCCTCTGAAATCTCTGATGTACTCTGCTCCTTCTCTCTCTCCCGCCATCAATGCCCCGTAGGGCGGAGTCACCCACTCAAGACATTCAGCAAGTCCAAGCAGTGTTGGAACTTGCCATGTGGAACCGGCTTCGTGAACATATCAGCAGGATTATCCGCGGTGCCAACCTTCTTCACCTTAATCCTCTTCTCTGTCCTCAAGAAATGATACCTCACATCGATTTGCTTAGTCCTCTCATGGTGGACTTGATCCTTGGCCAAGCATATTGCACTCAAACTGTCGCAATACACCACTGCCTGATCATGATGTAGACCAAGATCACCAACCAGTCCCTTCAACCATATTCCCTCATTAGCAGCTTCTGTCAACGCCATATACTCTGCCTCAGTAGTAGACAATGTCACCGCCGACTGCAAAGTTGCCTTCCAGCTCACTACAGAACTCCCAAGAGTGAATACATAACCGGTCATCGATCTCCTCTTGTCAACATCTCCAGCATAGTCCGAGTCAGAATACCCAGACACCAAGCACTCTGTATCACTTCCGAAGCTAATCCCCACATCAGGTGTACCCTTAAGGTACCGGAAGATCCTCTTCACAGCCTGCCAATGCTCCTTCCCAGGTTGTATCATAAACCTGCTGACAACACTAACAGCATGTGCAAGATCAGGTCTAGTGCATACCATAGCGTACATCAAGCTACCTACTGCACTAGCATATGGGACTCTCGACATGTACTCCTTCTCAGCCTCTGATTGCGGTGCATAAGCTGAGGATAGATGAACATTTGAAGCACTAGGAGTATTTAAGGGCTTTGCTGAAGACATGCCAAACCTCGACAATATCTTCTGGATGTAGCTCTTCTGTGACAAGAAAAGCTTCTTCTTCGACCTGTCCCTGTAAATCTCCATACCCAAGATCTTCTGAGCAACTCCCAAATCCTTCATCTCAAACTCAGTACTGAGAAGCCCCTTTAACTTCTGGATATCAGACTTTGACCTCGCAGCTATGAGCATATCATCCACATACAGAACTAGATATATCATCGAACCATCCTCTACCTTGCTGTGATATACACAACAATCATATGGACTTCTGCTGTAGCCCAGCTCAAGCATGTAACTGTCAAATCTCTTGTACCACTGCCTCGGAGATTGCTTAAGCCCATACAAGGACTTCTTCAACTTACAAACATAGTCTTCTTTTCCCGGAACCTCGAATCCTTCTGGCTGAGTCATGTAAATTTCTTCTTCCAACTCTCCATGTAGGAAAGCTGTCTTCACGTCTAGCTGCTCGAGCTCCAAGTCATAATGTGCCACTATTGCTAGTAGCACTCTGATCAAAGTATGTCTGACCACTGGTGAGAAAATCTCATTATAGTCAACTCCTTCCCTCTGCGAGAAGCCTCGTGCAACCACCGGAGCTTTAAATTTCATGCCCTCTTTAGAAGTGATTCCTTCCTTCTTCTTGTAGATCCACTTGTTTGTAACAATCTTCCTTCCCTGTGGTCGTTTGACTAGCTCCCAAGTCTGATTCCTGTCATGGGATTCCATCTCATCTCCCATTGCGGCAAGCCACTGATCAGCTTCACCACCCGAAACTGCTTCTCTATAGGACTGTGGCTCTCCTACATCCACTTCCTCAGCAACTTGAAATGAATACGCCACCATGTCCTCGAAGCCATACCTCTGTAGAGGTACTCCTACAGTCGCTCTCTTCGGTCTACCGGAAGCAATAGACTGTTGAGCTCGTGCACTGGACTCTGAAGTTTCTGGCTCTGCAGAGACATACTCATCATGTTGATCTTCTCCACCTTGGTGCTCAAACTCACTTTCATTGAGAGTTTGCAGCTCCACCTGCTTATCAACATTCCTGCTACCTTCAGCAACATTAACCTTCAACATGGGGTTAAACATAGACTTCTTATCAAATATCACATTTCTACTAAGTATAACTCGATGCTCAGAAGGTGACCAGACTCGAAATCCCTTAACTCCATCTCAGTAACCCACAAATATACCCTTCTTTGCCCTTGGGTTCAGTTTACCCTCATCCACATGATAATAAACAGGACACCCAAAAACTTTCAGTGAAGAGTAATCAGCAGGCTTACCATACCACACTTCATAAGGAGTCTTACACTCGATACCTGTGTGTGGTCCACGGTTGATCAGGAAGCACGCCATGTTTACTGCTTCTGCCCAGAATCTTCTCTCTAGTCCAGCATTAGAGAGCATGCACCGTGCTCTCTCCAACAATGTCTGGTTCATCCTTTCTGCAACGCCATTCTGCTGGGGTGTATCTCTAACAGTCCGATGACGGGCAATCCCTTCATCCTTGCAGAATTCGTTGAACTCAGAATTACAGAACTCCAGACCATTGTCCGTTCGCAGCTTCTTGATCTTCTTCCCGGTCTGATTCTCCACCAATGTCTTCCACTGCTTGAACTTCGTGAAAGCCTCACTTTTCTGCTTCATCATGAAAATCCAAGTAAATCTCGAATAATCATCAATAATAGACAGAAAATACCTGCTGACTCCAATGGATTCAACTCGTGAAGGACCCCAACAATCGGAGTGGAGGTAATCCAGTATCCTCTTCGTCCGGTGGATACCCTTCTTGGGAAACTTGCTGGGATGTAGCTTCCCAAACACACAATGCTCACAGAATTCCAAATTTTGCACCTTGTGCCCGCAAAGAAGATCCCTCTTCGATAGAACTTGCATCCCCCATTCACTCATATGCCCCAGTCTCATGTGCCAGAGAGTGGTCATATCTTCCTGTTGAACCTGAGACGATGCAACTGCAGCAGAACCAGACAACACAGGCCCTTGTAATGCATACAAGGCCCCACGCTTCACGCCCTTCAGCACCTTCCTTGAACCTTTGCAGACATACACAACTCCACCTTTTCCTTTGAAGCTGAAACCCTTGCTGTCGAGTAGACTCAAGGATATCAGGTTCTTTGTCATTCGTGGAACATGCCTGACATCATTCACGGTACAGAATGAATCATCATGTGTCCGAACCTTTATGGACCCGAATCCAACAACCTTGCAGACAGCTCCATTAGCCATGACCACGTTATCACCATCTATCTGCTCGT